GGAATGTAATTCAGAGGAGAAAATAGATTCCTATTGCCCAGAGTTATGCTCTGATACCATCTTTTTCTTTCCAGAAGAGAGAGAAGAGAGATACGAAGAGAAGAGAAAAAGTATTTGAGAGTCAAAAACTGAAGCTGGCGGCTCCCAGCTTCCTATTTGTATTAATGTGATGTAAAATAAAAGAAACAGAAATTACAAGCATGCCACTAGTGGCCCACCCTAATAATAAGAACTTGAACAAAGAAAAGAACATGCTGACAGCACCCTAACAGCAGAAATAAAAAAACTAATTCTAACAACAAAAACCATAGCATACCTCACTCTTCATCAACGATATTTAACTCCTTTCCTTCACCTTCCTCCCATTTCTCTCCCCCTCCCCCTCCCCCTCCCCCAACTGCATTCCTCCTAATGCTTTCCTTCCTTCTATTCTGTTCAAATTGTTCAATTGCCTTCATCACCACCGCTTCTCCCTCCAAAAGGAAAAGACCAAGAGATTTCCCAACCGCCACCTGTCTATCCACTAGTTGATCAATGCCGGTTTTTCCTTTCTCCATGATATTTGCCTTGGGTGTTTCTTCAGCTTTATTCCCTTCTATTTCCTTCTCCCCCTCTCTATTCCCCCCTTTTTCATTATGTTTCTCCTTACCCTTCTTCCTGTTATCTCTCTCTTCCTCTAAGTTTCTCTCAACAGACTTTATCCTATTCTTTTCCTCCCTCTCCCTTTGAGAGCTTCTTTGTTTTGATTGCTTAAAACAAAGTCCTGAGCCTTCTTGCTTGAGTCAGCATCTAACCCATCTGCATCGCTGTTGTTTATCAAACAGTTTAGCTGATTGTTGAAAGGGCTCCATTGTTCTTTTGATCTTAGCTCTGTCTTCCTGTACATCCTCTCATGTACTCAGTTTTTTTTTTTTTTCGCTTTAATGAAAAAGTTACCATTTCTCAATTTGATGTTGTCTCTCATGGCTTTCTACCAGAAAGTTGATTTTCTCTTTTACTTTTTTCACTAGCTCCTTTGGTCTCTTCCCACAGCCTGTGGGTTGTCTATTCTGATACCATTTGATATATGTGTGTGTGTTTTAATATATAAGTAACAATAAAGCAGGAAATTTTGAGAAAAAGAAGGGAGGAGACCACTTCAAGGGGGCAGACATCTTTGAACACTTTGAGTGTTTCTCCTCCTAAACAGTAAACAGAATTCTTCTTCAGTCAAGTTCAATGAACGATACAATCAATTTATAGAACCCAAGAGGTTGAAACAACTGCTTGCACCCTACATCCATTAATACATGTAAAATTCCATTTAAAAATCCATGTATCAAAGTAGTTGCAGGATGTGGCATTCTAAATATTTCTAGGTATATCAATTAGGTTGCAGGATGTGGCATTCTAAATATTTCTAGGTATATCAATTAGGTGCTATCGTTCTATTTTGCAGGCCTCTTATGTGTAAGATGTGCTGGCTATAGCAGTGTTTTAAAAGCAGAAGGTGTAAAGGGTTTTTTGCATGCAAGGTGAGGCACAGACCTTGTTTGATGCAAGGCATCAAATTTTTATAAAAGTCAAAGAATTGCAAAAAATGCAAAAAAAAAAGTAAAAAATTCAAAATAAATCAAGAAAATATGAGACTGGATTAATTAAAAAACTACTAGCTTTAGTTTTAAAAAGCCTATCATCTCAAAGGGACATAAACAAGCATAATATATAAAACATATTCAAAATGAATATGCAAAAATAAAATAAAAAATTCATAAAAAAATGCAAAAATCAAATCAAAATAGAATATAAAATATATTCAAGCATTTAACAATTCAAGTATGTCAAACTGATTTTCTTTATTTCTTTCCCCATTGCATTTTCAAATAACTAATATGATGTTGGTCATCTTTCACTCCTGATTCTATGAACCACCTTTGTACTGAGCCCCTTGAGGCAAGCCCAAACAAGTCCATGTTAGGTTTTAAATTCTTAATCCATACAAAAAATATGGTGTTTTTTATTAAGATTATCTTTGAAAAATGTCTTGTATTAAGAAGAACGAATGAACAACATTAGCAAAAAGGGGGTTATCATATCTTCAACCTTGAAATGTGCCTCATTTGTGTGGCTTTTAAATCACCAGTGGTAAGATGCATTCTACAAAAATTTGTAGGTCGAACCTTGATTAAGGTACTAAGAGTGTGGGAAGGGAAGAGGAAATCAATGGAGGTACAACTGAAGAGGGAAACTGATTGAGGAAGGGGGTGTGGGGATGGTTGAAGATTACTCAGAAGAGGAACAGGAGATGCTTATTGATGAGATGAGGGCAGTAAATAAAAAAGATAGAACTGAGTAGGGTGATTGAAAGATAAATTGAGAATGGTGAAGCATTTGGTGTCTTTTATTTAGGGGAATAAGAAGCAGAAGGGAGAAGTTTGGAGAAATTTGAAAAGACAGGAAGTTAGCAGAAGAGGAAGATTAGAGTTGGTGGTTTGGGAGGTTTGAAGCAGAGAAGAAAGGGGCAAATAAGGAAAAGGAAAGTAAAGGGAGAAGAGAAGGAATTCTTGGGAGGAGGCAGGGATAGTTATATTGAAAAGGAAAGTAAAGGGGGTTGGGGAAAAGGCTGATGGGAGTTAATAGAGATCGGAAGCCTTGTTTAGATAGTTTGATGTTTTGGGATGATCTGTTATGCATGCGGCTCTATATGGGGGAAATTTATGTCAACATTTGGAGTTGATTGATTATTTGTATACACAGTTAGGTGATTGGTCCGAGTTGGGTAAAAGTTGTATTTTCTTTACTTTTGGTGATGTCTTATTACCACTTCTTGTACTCTCTTTCTATCTCTTTTTTTCCTTATAATGAAAATTTCTTTTTATCTTTATTATAAAAAAGACTATTTTATAATGCTCAGACAGCGTAGATATTAACAGCAAAAATCAATTATAAAAAAAAGCAAATATTAACACCAAAAAGCATCTAAAGCCATTCCTTATTGTAATCTAGGGTTTTCAGTCCAGGGTGTATGCTGCCTGTATGGTCTGCTGACTTTATCTGCCAGCATGCTGACATCAGCAGGTCCTTGTGAGACACTGAGATGTTTCAAGGAGAAAAATGGGAAGAGAAGAGAAGAAAGAATGAAGACTTTTTTTGTTTTTTCCAGGGGGGGGGGGTAGATGAGAACACAAGCATAGAAATTGCCCTTCTAATACTCTAATAACAACCAGGTTTGCTTGCTTCCTATCACCAGCTTTAGCCAAGTGGCACATTATTTCTACAACAAGGAAATTTCATCCTTATAAGTTACTTCCTAAACTCTTTAATGTGTAGTTTCATTTAGATCCAATAGGTAGGGATAGCCCACTGGTTTATTCCATGGAATCCTTGGAGCTTCTTTCCTTTACTTGAGTTATTGAAGAGTTTCCTATTCTAAGGCCTTCAATTTCAAAGAAACACATTAAATAGCTCATCATGAAAAATTAAATAACTGCCACCATCTCCACAAAACTGGGATCCTCAAAAAACAAGTAGCCCAAGTGCCTAGCTTCCTTCAAAATGTTTTTTTTTTTTCAATGAGTGAAAATTTCATTAATCAAAAGATTGAAGAATTACAAGTAGCCAAGAAGAGGCATGAAATGTGATATCTCTCCTTTTAGATTGATCACAACTTTTCAAAACTTAAACAAAATACAAACTACAAGGTAGCCCAATAAAAAGATTCCTGAGAAGTTCCTTGTTTAGCAAATGAATCAGCCAAAGCATTTGCCAATCTGCCCATCTAGGGGGTGGCAAATGAGTGGGTTGGGTGTGGGTTGAGTACCAGCCTACCCCATTGACCCACTAACCCATTTGCCACCCATATTTAAGGATGTTAATGGGTCACAACCCACCCTGATCCTGACCCACCCCAACCCACCATATGACTTGCTAAGCTTTAAAAAATTTACAAGACTGCCCTTATTATATACAATCCACAAGATTTCAAATTTAACTTAATTGAGTCACTGTTTATTGTCTTCTTTGTTTGAAGGCTGCAGCAGCAGAACTCCTCCGATCCCACCTTCTCTCTCCCTCTCCCATTCTTTCTTTCTTCTATTCTTATTCTCCTTCCTTTTCCTCTTCTCTTCCTGATCCCTCTCCTCTGTTCCCCATTCCGCTTGCCACTGAACTTATGCAGCAGAGAAGTCCTTCACCCATCTCTCTCTCTCTCTCTCCTTTCTTATTCTTCTCCTCCTTTTTTCTTTCTTCTCTTCTCTCTGCTACTCCAACCTGCAACCTGTTTTTTCTCTGTTTCACTACAACCTGCAACTTTGAATAGAACGAAAACAGAGCATGGAGTGGCTACCCTCACTGAGAATGGTGGAGGTGAAGTTGCTCTCCAACCTTCGACCCCTAGATGGCTGTTGAGAATGGAAGAGGTAAAAGATTGTAGAGAAACCTTCAAACCCAAAATGGCTGTTTTCATTGATGATCCAATGGTTACCCTCAACCCAACCCACCCTGAACCATTTTCCCCTGACCCTAATGGGTCACTCGACCCATATTGACCCAAAATAGACATCCCACTCATCAATTGAGGATTTTATTTTATTTTTGCCTGGATTAGCTTTGCAGGAAGTTTTATACAATTTAGGAAGTTTAAGTCTTAATTTTGTCACTAGAGGATAGCAAAGTTGCCAGTGGGTTATTAGTAACTTAGGATGATGAAGGCAGGATTCAATACCAACAGTGGGGTTCAACTCCCTAGTTTTTACCAACTAAATTAACTGGCATTTTCAAATGGCTAATTTTTATTCTGCTTAATATTGGAAGAAAGTATTGAGATTTTATTGAATTGGATGATACTTATTGATAAAAAAGGATGATACTTGATAGAAATTTGAAACTCTAGTCACAAAACCTATTAATTTTTGTCACATAACCTATTTGAGGATGGTGGCTGGTCTACGTTGGAGGGTTGCCACTGCAAAACTTTTAACTGTTTGTTTTACAGAAGTTACATTCGTGCTCCATGTTTGTAGGATAAGGTTGCAGAGAAGTCTCGGGAAACAACATTGCACACTGAAGACTTGGAGGATTCTATCACGATGGTGAGATCAATGAAAGAATGTGGTCTGCCCATTGCAGACGAGATGGTCAAAGATATCAAGAAGTCTCTACTTATCATGTCAACATCACAATCACAAAGTGGGTAAGATTTCTGAATCTGTGAAGTTTGTGAGATTTGAGAACCATTAATATAACTTAGAAGGTAGAACACTGTAAACAAGACTCATCTTTTTTTTTTTTTTTTACCTTTTCATGCTAGTGTCCAAGCATATTTATGTCTAGCAGTACTTGGATATGAGATTCTTGTCTAACCATTTGTGGTTTGGCCTTTGGGTGACTCCCAAAGCAATTTAGTTGGAAATTTGTGACTTGAAAAAAAGGATCATGTTAATTTCATTAATGCTAAGAGGCTGTACATGAGATTATGTACCAAAAAGAAAACTCAAGCCCCCCACCCCCCCAAGAAAAAAATCTACAGCCAAAAATGAAGATGATAAAATATCACTTTTAAATACAGAATGTATGGATAACCAGTAAGCAATATTTTATTATGTACAAAAGGATACATAAATGCCGCTTTATACTGTACCACCATCTCTGCACCCAAAATGGACAACCATTTAAGTACTAAATTTTTCCTCTCGAGAGGACCAAACTCCATTAGAGATGAACAGAAGTCCATAATAAGCCAGGCAATAGAAATGAATTTGACTAAATTATAGAAGGTGACTCCAAGGTTGTAATTGGGTGGCTGAAAAACAGTGAGAAAGCAATATGGGGCTACAGGAACGAGCTGAAACAGGTCAAATGGCTGTCAAGGAGCATGGATATTAAGATACAATGGGTGCAGAGATCTGCAAATGGTTTGGCTGATGCTTCAACCAAGCAAGGGGTGAACAGGAATCGAATGTATTGGACTATTGGGCTAATTTTATAATTTGCATGTTTTCTGTAGTGGTAGGGTAGTAATCGCTATCCTACGCAAGGGAGGATTATATTGCTCTTTGTAATATCTTGTTTTTATTAATAAAATGTTAAGTTATTGAGCAAAAAAAAGCAGTCCATAATAAGACTACTTGTGTAGAAAATAAATGCCAAAATGATCTCTCTACCACATAAAAAATTCTTCTATTTCTTCCTTCCAAATGTTTCAACAAACATAAAAAAAGAACCATAACCCAAAAGGAAACCAGACTGGAAATAACAACCAACTTGAATGAGAGCGGAACAAAAAAATAAACAATTGAAAATGGATTGAAGCTCCCAAGTTGTAGTGAAAGGACATGTAACAGACATATGATCAATCAGCTCCTGAGATTTGCACATGGAGCACCTATTTGGGATTTGGAGACCTCTTTGGTTTAAATGATCAACAGTGAGTACCTTATCAAGAAGGCTATGTTGAAAAGAAGGGAAGGGAAAAATTTTCTATTCCTCTTCCTTTTTCTTCCCTTCCCTTCCCTCCCCTTCCTTTCTTTTCCCTTTCCTTCTTTTCTTTCAAACCAAACACAGGCTACACAGTTGAAGGTCAGCCATATGAAAGCTTCAAATTTGGTACATGATGGTCCTATATGGGACCGACCTCAACAGAATATAAAAATGTTATACATTTAGTGAGAGCAACAGGAAAATGTCTCACAGAAACGTTTCACAGAAACATTTTCTTTTTAGATCTTCCTTCCATGTCAGCTTTTTTGGTTGTTGATGCACTAGAGAGGCAACGTCAAGTATGTGAACATATCAACAAGTAGCATTTGTAAGGCACTAGAAGGGCAACCTCAAGTGTCTGAAGGAGGAAAAAACATTTGTTGACCTCCCTGCTCAAAAGAGGTCTATGGAAAATCAAGTTTGCACAATTGGTACCACATTATTTGAAGCAATAAATACAGATTGTTTCATTTTTGAGAAAAATAGCAAAATAGTTCTTCAGATTAAATTACCTAGCTAGATTTGCTACTCTGAGTTTTGAAGTAGAAAAGCTAGGTATACTGTATAGACTCTTCCAAGGTTCTTTTGGTCACCTGCTTGTCACGTGTTGTTGCCTTTCGAATTTTTCTTGATTTAAACTACTCATGCTTTGATTTTATCTTGCATGATTGAATCGTTTCTTATAAGTTAACCAAAAAGGAAAATCTGGTGCTTCTATTCATGCGGCTTTTATTGTGTGAATCAGGTTAATCCATAACCCAAAACTAGGTTTTCAGATTGGTGTAAGAAGCTCTTGGGGACCAGTAGTCCAAAAGGATGGAGCAAGTAGTCGCAGTTATTTGTCCAGTGTACTGGAGTCAGCAAAACAGAGAGCTGTGGGTCTTAGATGGCCCCAACTTGACTCCAGAGAACCAACAGGAAGAGAGTGTGATAAAACTTTGTTCTCCGCTGACCCTCTGGTATCAGTTGTAACTGCCGGTTCTGATTTAACACAGCCAGATAGAGAAACTGAGGAACTGTCCTTGTCAAATCAAATTGTAGACGACCAAGTTGATGAGGCAACACCAGTTTCTGGAAGCTCACCTAGTCAGGATTTATTAGTAGAGCTGGAAACCGAAAAATATGATGAGTTCAAAGCTGACAAAGAGGCCAAGCTAAAGGAATGGCTGGAAGAAGTGGATAACGTGCATAGTTGCGTAAAACCTGTGCAAGAGCAGCATTAACTTTGGCAACACATGGGGCAGAAAACATAACAGGTTGTATTGCTGACGGACTGAGAATAAAGTTGTACTTGAGAAGAATTTTATTTAATGTATGAAGCGTCTAGCCAGCTAGTTGGGTTTGTTTGTGTCATTGTCGCTACAAATTGTGTCCAGAACCTGAGATATTGTCAAAAAATCAATACAGATAGCGGCAAATGACCAGATTTGCATAGTTATCATTCTTTTAGATATAATTACTAATTTACCCATTCTCATGATAACGTGGCATTTCTAGATATTCTCTCCCCAACAGCTAAAATTTTTCCCTTTTAGATTATACTTGTCAGGTCCAAGTTGTGCATATTTGGTTTCTTTTTCGCTATCTCATGTGGAGTAGATGTTACTTGTTAGGCTAACTTTTTGCATGCATTCATGCATGAATGTAGTTAATGGATTTGAATCTTCCACTGTAGTTTTGATTGATTAATTGTGCATTTAAGTGAATCATTATTGATGCATTAGACTAACCTATGAAGTCCGAGTTGCAGACTTGGCTTTAATTCTTTATTACATGCATGTTTGCATTGATGTGTGCTGATCAACATTCATTGTTACTTTAAAATTGCATTGTTTTTTTTCTTCTTTTTTCAAATTTATGTATAGCCTGCATTTTGGATCATGTTGACCCTTGGGGGACCATGAACCTTTATATTGGAGGTCAATGGACTTGTATGGGAGTGGTTTCCAAGTAGAACATGGAGGCCAGTCATGTTTTGAATGGTATTAGAGAAAGTTTGAACATCCGAGTCACCATTGTGAAGCTTGATGGAAATAACTATTTAGTGTCAAAAACTAGGCTATCCAACTGGCTTTTAGGTAGAGTTAAAACCTAAAGATCTAAAGCATGGAAAGTGGATATAGGAACCATGGTGACATTATGGTGGTAAAATCCTGCACCGTGCAACAAAAGACATGATTAGTTGAACGTGATGGTAAGTACGATTCGTTAAAACATGAAAGTACACTTTATGAAACATGAACCGATGGAAAGTAAGCAAACTTTAATGTAATTGGTTGATATCTTGACTTAATGTGTAGCCAATATTTGTAAATGTGTTTACAAATATTGTTGAGGGGGTACGAAGCTAAAGAATTGAACTGTTGCAAGCTTATTGTTGAAGGGGATTCGGAGCTAGTTATTGGTTGGTTGCAAAAAGCAGATAATGGCCTATGGAAGTTTTCTAATGAAAAAAGAATATTCTTTCGGTTAGCACAAGATGTGGAAATTCAGATAAAGTGGGTAAAGAGAAGTGCCAACTCCTTTGCGGATACTCTTGCTAAACAAGAAGTGGGAAGGGAACGATTGTTTTGTTGTAATCTGTTTGTTGTTTCTTCTTTAATGAAAATTCTCTGTTATTCCTCCTTTGTATTATGTTAATTTGTATTTTGTAATGAGGAACATGTTGAAATTGTACCCCCACCACTTTTATTTATAATATTTTATTATAAACATTGGCTTGAAAGGTAAGGGCTATAGACGTACACGCCTTTATACGAGGTGCCTTTCTAAGTGGCTGCAGGTTAAAGGAATCCACCTCAAAGTATGTACACCACTCCATGTCTCAACATATTCCTTGTAGCTTGTGTTTATCTATTTCGATCTAAAGTGAGTAGTCTTAGGTAGGGAAAGAACTTACTATCCTTATACTTCTCTACACTCAAGTCCTTGTGCAAGAGAATCCAACTTAAGAAGTTAGAATGGGCAAGTGCCAAGGAGTTTGCTATTTAAGGCAAGTTGGTTGAGAGATCAAGTTTTTTTTTTGTTTTGTTTTTAAGCTTCTTATAGAATTGAACCCACAGTAAAATGTTAGCATATACTTACAAGTGCAGCTGTGACTTTATCCCAGCCTCCCAGGTTTGCTTGGATTCATAATATAATTCCAAACTTTACTCTTCATGGAGGGGTGGCCAAAGTATCGACACATATTGGCCCGTATTGGTCGATATGTATCGTATTGGGAGTACCCTGATATGCCCCTACAGAGGATGTATCGGGGTTCTAACCGGTTCAGGGGGTGGAAGAGCCTTAAACCATCCCCTGAACCGATTTTGAAAAAGAAGTAAAAAAAAGATCCGATACTGATATTTAGAACCTTGGGGTTGGCCATTGAAAATTTTATTGGCTTAAAGCAAGGGGGATGTAAAAGCATTGTCCCAAAACAAACTGAGGATTATCTAATCCGGAGTTGAGGTGTATGAATGTTCATGTATCAGTTTATGATCATTTGACCTTTGTTATAGTTAGTTTGAAGGTACAGACATCTGGGAAGAATAATGGTGCAGAAAATGAGGAAGGTCGTGTGATTTTTGTAAGATGTCTAAACATGTGCAGCGCATGTTAGAAGCTTCATCCCCATTTTACTCTTAACTCAGTTTAGGAAGAGCATCAATAAGAAAGGAAGTGCTAAGATGGTTTTGCTTTCAGCAGATGAGTAGGTTCTTCTTCTGTCCCACTTACACCATTGATGCAAATACTGGCTGGTGCCTAGCAGAAGTTGGGCGCAACTTGCGGGTGCAAGTCCTAATTTGTTCTTGTAGCTCAGATAATTTAAATTTTAAAAAAATCTCCTATAGTATTCCTACCCCACTTTTTTGAGATTGAACTTGTAATCTTTACGTTTAGATTGAAAACAATGATGGTTGGAAATGTTCCAAAATATGACTTACCTCATCAAGATGGTCATCATTCTTACTCCAATGAGCTTCAAAATGACAATGATAGATCATCCATCTCTTCCCTATTAGATTCAAAAGAATACTGCAATAATTGCTCCTTAGGCTTCGTTTGATAAGAGTGTAAATCATAGTTTTTAAAACCGACCTGGTGATCTAACCGGTCAGGGGTCCAGTTACCGGTTCGAATGGTCGGCCCGTTCTGACAAAAAAAATTGAAAAACGGTCAAAATTGATCGAATGGTTAACTGGCCGGTTCAGCGGCTTGATGAGCAAAATCAATGGTTTTGGGGGGAAAACGAAATCGGTTAGGTGACCAGTTCCCGGTTTTTCCGGTTCAACCGTCCGGTCTGGTCCGGTTTTTGAAAACCATGGTGTAAATACAATATGTATGGTACACAACCTTGAATCTTGTATTTCTGAACTTTGTATTTACACTTTACATATTTATATTTGTACTAGGCTCGGTTCGGGAAAAGCACAAATACAAATACAAGATTTCGAAATACCAAAGGCAAGGTTTTACACTTACATATTTATATTTGTATTCTTTCCAAACTGAGCCTTATAGATAGCAGGGATGAGCCTCAGGAAACACAAATCTCCAACTTGAAACAGCAAGTACTCTACCGGGTCCTGAAGTCTTCTTCTATTGGACCAGGTATAGCTGTATGGGCTGATCAATTAAATCCCAACCCCTTGAGACGGGGTTGGGAAGCAATATGAAGGATCTGATGTTGATAACTGCATTTTAGAACATATCATGGATTAATAAGAGAAGAATGTAAATTAATTTAAAAGTTGCCACACCTCATCTATGTGGGTTCTAGTGGGCTCCCCAATAAAAACATAACAATGGACAAACATCTTTCCTAATCACTCCAGAACTCTACCCACAACACACTATCTCAGTGTATTGGGAACATTTCCCCATGAATGGGAAGGGAGATATTCCCAATGCATGCCTGTAGCATCATGTGGGTAGGGATGTGGGAAGATTTTGTGGGTAAAAGATCCGAGCTCTGTCAGTAAAATTTGCCATAACAAAGTTTCTATTACTAGAAACCACTTGAAGATATACTCACAAAGTCACAAAGTATTCCTACATCGCTATCCACAAAACGCTACTACTGTGTTGGGAACATCTACCCATGAATGACAAGGGAGATAGTCCAATGCATGCCTATAGCACCGTGTGGGTGGGGATGAGGGAAGATTTTGTGGGTAGGAGATCTGAGCTGCAGGAAAATTTGCTCTACACATCACTTGAAGATAAATATACAATCCTCCCACATTAACTGAAATTTACTATCATAGCTAATAGGCTCAATACTATAATGGTTGAGTCCCTTAGAGTTTTTTTTTTTTTTTTTAATTTTTTATTTTAATTTCTGAAAACTTGGAAGCACAACATTTTGTTTCAAAAAGAAATATCACATCAGCATTAGTACATCTAAAGAAACTGATGGAAAAGAAGGATCTTTAATTTGGTGTATAGAATGGGAGATTTAATGGTTCAAAATATCCCAAGTCAAATTGGGTGAGCTAATTTGGGGTTTTGGAATGGAATTTGTATTTTTAAGGTTAAAAGAAGAAGTTTGGCAGGATAATAGGGACTGAGTTTGAGATGTCAATGGAAACTCCTAATTGGGTCAAGGATGTGTGATTATACATGTGGCTTTAGGGTTTGTTTGAAGGTTTTGGTTAATTTGGGAGGTCGAAATGGAGTTTTTAGTAGATGGCCAATGGAATCTTGAAGTTTGAGGGTGAAATTTGGTTATATTGGATATTTAAGGGTTTTGAATTGGATGATTAGGTTTGATTAAGTGCTTGGTGTATGGACAAGGGCTGATTGTAGATTTGGGGAATTTGGAGCTAAGATGTGGTGTTCTAGAGTTTTTAGGTATTCTAAGATGATTTGACTGGTTTGATAAGGTTTTTGAGGGTGCAAAGGGTGGGGTCTTGATATATTTGGGGGAGGGGGGGTCAAATGCTAATTTTTTGGGAAGTTGGGGTCTTTCGGTGTTTTTTTAGTTTCCCAAGTCTTTGGCTAGATAAAGAGAAAGGATTGAATAAAAATTGGATGCTAATATTTGTAGTAATCTAGGTTTACTATATTTTTGCCTGATTTTCTAGATTATGTACTAAATAGATAAGTTTAAGTTAAAATAACTAGAAGTAAATACAACTACTAATATATGAAATTATGAAGACGTATTATAATAATAATATTTAAATTAAAATTATATGTATTACTTTACTATCAAAAGGTAAAATAAATTAATATATGAGTATATGTATTATAATAGGAATATACATAAATATCTATGTGTTGATCATACTAGATATGTGTCTCGTTTAAATATAGTTATATTAATAAATATTATTTCATTTAGCAATATTAACGATATTAGTTAATAGGACTTACTTACTACTATAGTATTTGCAAAATTCATATAAGGACTCAATAAATATTACAGTATTAATAATTATAATTAACTAATTAAAATAATTAGATTAAGTATGATTAGTTGATAAAATTACAATATTATAAATTACATACAAGTTAATTAAAAGAATTGTATTAATTTTAAATTTTAAAAAATAAAATTTTATTATTTTAATCAATTTTAATTTTAAAATCAATTAATAATGCTTGGATTGGATTTGGACATCCTTAGTATAATAAATGTCATGCAGCTACTTCTTCAATTTCGTTTAGCAAACCTCATAAATTGCTCATATCAAATATGAGAATACTTAGGCTGTGTTTGGTTTGAAGGAAAGTGTAAGGAAAGGAAAGAAAAATTAAGAAAGCTTTTACAAATGTTGTATAGGTTTCTCTACCTTTTCCTTCAAACCAAACATAACCTAGTTTAGTTGCAATCATTTCAATGTCGATTTTTTTATTAGGATTTAGAGTAATTAAAAATATGGCAATAAGTCAAAATTCTCTTATCTCTTAGTTTCTCGTGTAGATGATAGACTTAGCTTATACTTCGATAAAAAAAATGTATGTTTGACTTTTCATTTCCTTTATTTTATTTTTTTTTGTTTTTTCGGGTTTAGTTCCAACAATTACTTACTCAAATAAAAATGTAAAATCATTTGGCAATAACTCTGTACAGTGGATTATGGGCCGATCTAAGAAAGCATATGGTTCAATCATAGAACCATATGAAGTGGGGCATGAACACCGATCGGGCCCACTCATCTGCAGATCATCAGTAACATCAATTGAGGCCTTGAGGGTCGTTCACTTCAGCCCAAATGAAATAACTTTTTGTTTGGGCCTACTGCTACTATTCAATATTCCCCATGATGTATTGTTTTCTTCACTGGGGAAGGGAGCGTCGGTGTCGGTTACGAGGCGAATTTCGCTACTCCAGACGGCGTAGCCTTGGGCTAAAAAGCCCAAAATCCCTTCTTTGAATCTATTTTGAGGCCCACTTCAACGTCACTTCATCCCATTTAAGATGGCCCCCACATCAATAAATCGAGGGCTGTAACTCACGGCTTTAGCCCAAAGCTACGACGAAGGGCGTAGCAGATACTTCCGCCATCTAGTGCAACCAATGAGAAGTGAACGCGTTATTCTGGCGTTAAATGGCAGGCGGTCAACGTTGTGAGCGGAAGAAGGAAAGCAACAGCGCTAGAGAGAGAGAGAGAGAGAGAAGAGAGAGAGAGAGAGAGAGAGAGAGGGAGAGGAGAAGAAACAAAGAGGGTGGTGAGTGGTGACTGGTGAGGAGATCTGAGATGCTGGGTGGTGGTCGGGTGGTGTGGTGAGGTGGGGACTCTCCAAAATCTTAACTCGGATTGATCATTGATCCTCCCCTCCTCCTCTGATTCTCCCTCCTATTTTCAAAGCATTTTCCGCGTGTCGATTTGGTATACATCTCCATGGCCTCCTCCTCTTCTGTCACGGGTGGATATCGGATTCTAAACTATTCAGTCTTAGATCTGCTGCTGCTCTCTCTGTCTGTGGGTGGTGGTTTTCCTTCCTTTTATCTTCTCTCTCACCTCCCCTTCTGTGTAGCTTCCGAGACCATACCCACCACTGCTGCTCCACCAACCCCACTCTTAAAAGCTACCCAAGAAGAAGGGATCAGCGTCAATCGTAGAATCCTCATCGCAGTCGTCATCGCTTCTCTGTCCCTCGTTTTGGTACTGCTCATGGTCATGGCCTCCCTCAAGTTCCTGGGGTTCAGGTTCAGGTTCAGGATCAGACGTAAACCTAAGCGTGTAGTAGACGATGCGGAGCGTGGTGATGAGTTATCCACCGCTTCTTCTCATCAGGATTCGAAGGGGGAGGAGATTTCTAGCGTTCCGAAGAGGTTTAGTTGGGATGAGGTTGAGAGGTTTACTGTGAATTTCTCGCGTGTGATTGGAGAAGGAGGTTTTAGTACCGTTTATCTGGCTCACTTCCCCAATTCCACCCTCGGAGCGATCAAGGTCCATAACAACAGCGAACGTCTCAATCGAGTCTTCAAGCAGGAACTCGAAATCCTGCTTCACATCCAACACCCCCATATCATCGACCTTCTTGGCTACTGTGATGAACGAGGTACTGATTTTTCTCTCTTTCTTTCTAAATTATCGAATTGATTCATCGGGTTTTCTTTCTTTAGGAAGAAAAAGAAATTTCTAAATCTAGGTTTTTCGTTATTGCAGAAGAAGGCGTCCTGGTGTTCGAATACGTTCCAAACGGAAGCTTGCAGGAGAAACTCCACGGTCATGGAGAGTCTCTGCTTCCGTGGAAGACTCGCATGTCCATTGCGTACCAACTCGCCCAAGCCATCGCATACCTGCACGACAACTGTACGCTCCAAATAGTTCACGGCGACATCAAAGCATCCAACATCCTCCTCGACCAACATTTCAACTGTAAACTCTGCGATTTCGGTTTCGCAAAAATGGGTTTTTCGTCTGCGGTTCTGCCATCAGCCATGAACCCAGTAATGGGTTCACCTGGTTACATTGACCCTCACTACCTAAGAACAGGAATCGCGTCAAAGAAGAATGACGTCTATAGCTTTGGGGTGATCGTTCTGGAGCTAATCACGGGGATCGAAGCTTTTTGCTCCGAGAAAGAGCAGCTCTTGACGTCAATAGCCGGGCCACTGTTGGGTGACCTGAATAAGGTTCCGGAGATGGTGGATTCCCGACTTGAGGGCCAGTTCGAAACAGGGGAAGCCATGGCGATGGCTTCCATATCAGCTCTGTGCCTTCGCCAGCAACCCAGCCTTAGGCCTTCCATGGCCGAGATCTTGTGTACCATAAGAGAAAGGATATCGTGCTTGTCTTTTGTTGCCCCGGCTGAAGGAGCCAATGACACCACAGCCTAATATTAAAAGAGAGAGGGTCAGAAGGACACTGTACAATGTATATATTCCGCGTCTGCATTTGCACAGCCAAATCTCGAACAGGAACTTTAGAAAAAGAAAGTGAAAGGAACAAAGTACAAATCGAGTGGGAGTTTTATGCTTTTTATTTATTTGTTTATTCATTTTGTAGTTGGATTGGTGAACAGGAAAAAATTCCGAGTCCCCTCGGATGCTTCTTCCATGGAAGACGCGACCCTGTTGCTCATAATTTATCAGTGATCGTTCTTTCCGTTCCTCAGTTCAACAACAATGGAATGGAGTTTGTCTTTCTTAAAACAGGAATCGCGTAGCATAATTTACTAGATGGAAATGAGAGCGACAAATGCCCCCAAAAAAAAGGAAAAAATTCTCTGCTTCTGGGTACTTCCGTTTTGTCAGTAGTGACGGTGGACGAGAGACTGAGAGCGACACAGACGGACATTGGTTTCACAGCCACAACCACTGTGAAAAAAGAGGTGGGTAAGTCCCTACATCCCACGCGGTAGGAGCGAAAAAAGGGTGGACTCGTCCAATGCGGGTGTCCCACTCCCACCGCCACCGCCCACCGGTGGATTGACGACCGACTGAGGAGGGAGGAGCCCAATGCCCGAAGGAGTGGGCTCTTACCAGCTGGCAAGTCAATGCCAAGGACTATCCCTCCAGTATTAACTATCCGACCATCGGCCCTCCACCGAACTCCCAGGCTCAGCCAGCTGCAGCCACGTTGTTTATTCAGATTTACCAAGTTTTACCCGACCGGCCCAAATTTTTACAGTTGTACTTCCTTATCGGTTTTGACCTGCCATTAAAACCTTTTGTATTTGGATTGCATACTAGAATTTCAAATACAATATTATCAAATGATTCAGATATTTGGAAGGGCCAAGGGGATGATTTGTTTGCCTTTTTTGTTTGTTTTTTTTTTTTAACAAAGGCTCAGTTCTCAGTTTGGAAGAGTATATGTAGAATGCAAAATCTTGTATTTTGTTGTACATATTATTTTACTCTTTAAGTTTTAGTTTGGAAGGAATATAAATACAAATCTGTAAAGTTTGTACTTTTGTATGTATTTGTGCAGTACATATATGTATGGTATAAATAAATTATATAGAGTGCAGAATCTCATATTTTGTATGTATTTGCACTACACATTTGTATTTGTACTATTTCTAATGCTTAGTTTAAAAAGAATATAAACATCAATATATACAGTACAAATCTGTATATATGCATTTGTACTCTTTAGAAACTGAGCCAAATGTGACCTGTTTAGGGATGGGTTTTTTGGGCTGGTAAAAGCGAAGTCCGAATCTTTCTTTTTTTCTTTTTTTTTTTTTGTAATAAGCTAAGTCCCAATCCAATCCATGAACAGGTTTAGTTAAATTTAGCATAAACAAGTTTTAGATGGATTATAGAATCAGTTCTTAGAATCTAAACCAATTTGTAAGTTTAGTATCATGTGTATTTTACGTGATAATTTTGTAATTACCATGATGATGAAGATACTAAAATAATAATAATAACAATAAAACCAAGACCAATTGAAATGATAATAATATGTAATTACAATCAATTATATTCATTTTGTTTTGAAATTAGGAGAGGGCTATGTTTTCTTGAGGTCTGTAGACCATAAATGAGACTTCTTTATAAGGAAGAGAAAAACACGTTGAGTAGTTGAAGAAATAAAGATGAAAGTTTAATGAATTGAAAAGGAAGGCTAACAACTCTCTGAACTATGAAAATGAAATATCATAGTTTAATAAATTCATATGGGGAGGCCAAGAGGGTTCTTGAATTATTGAGGCCACGTTTTCCAATAATCCCTTTTCGTATCCATCCTTTTCAACTTTTGTTTCTCAATTGATTCCTCATCTTGCTTCTGAAATGTTGACTTTTAGCGTCTTAGTTGCAATGGCTTTTCCCGAATTGTGATTCATATTGCTTCTAGTATTTATTTTAGTAAGAAAAATATAAAATCTTTTCTTTTAGTTTGTCTAGAGTTCTCATGAATATTTATTGTCTGGGTCCTGTAAAAATAGGAAAATTCATGTTAAATAATCTATATATGACCATGTGCATTTCATTTTATACCCCTTTGTGAAGCTTGACAAATTCTAAGATTAGGCAATTCAAATCAAAGTTTTAAAAAATGACCCGTGGAAATGGAATTGTTTTAGTCACCGGTTTTCGGATTAACGATCTGATCTTTTGGTTTGAATGGACGGTTCATTCTGACAGTAGAATTTAAAAAATTAAAAAATGGTAAAAAACCGTTAAAAGAGTCTATGGTTTGATTGTTTGGATCAATGGTTTGTTAAATTTTTCAACGGTTTTGACCAGATTCCAGGTTTGGGATAAAACGAAACGATTCCGAGGCTGAACAGTCCAACCGCCCAGATCAAAGGCAGTTCGAAAACGTTGATTCAAACATTGTAATAGTTTCTTTTCCAATGTCTAATACTCTAATACATTCCTCCCCTGTGTAATTTTATTTATCCGGTTTGGTTTGATAATGGTTAACAAAATTTAGGTGCCCACCCCTCTATTTGAAGTAAAATTTGGGGTTAAAGAATTACTATTTGTTGTGATTAGACTATTTTGTATCATGATATTTTTGAGGTTGTATACTTGTATTGTAAGGTGGGTCATTGGGTTAGGTCTGGTTTGGGACAGCTTGTACCAGTTCTGAAATGATTATCAATCGGGACAAAAGTTACAAAAACAAAAATATTGGACCGTTTTGATTAATTAATAATTAGGATAATCATCTCTGGCCCAATTAGATCCAATTATGTTGACTTGTATGACTATTTATGTAAATAATAATTTAAAAATATATTTTTGATAATATAACCTTAATAAAAATAACAATAAGATAGTAAATTATTTATGTTAGTAAATCAATTGTTTTAACAAAATTATCTTGATCAAAATTGCCATTTTAAACATAAAATATAATAAAAGTTGTACAAATATTAAAAAATCTTTATATATTATTAACAAAATAATCAGTTTGAATAAACAAGAATTAGAACCGATCAAATTATTATTTGAGGCAATCACATAACCAGAACCATTATAATGGATTCGGTTCGATCCGGTCAGTCAGGTAGAATCCTGTCCATTGACAGCTCTATACTTAGAATTTCTAGCAGAAATGTTATTTTATTTGGTGGATTCACTTTGGGCTGCGTGTTTGCTTGAACTGAAGTTGTTGCCCTGAAAATACTTTGATATTGTTTACAATTATGAGGTACTGTAATGGTTTTTTAATGGAAAAAAGAGAAAAATGAGAAGGGAAGAGATTAGTATCTTGTATTTAATATGATTTTTTTTTAATCTTTGACAATTCATGATTTTCATGATGGAGATTAAAGCTGGTGGAGAATCAGAGATTTTTAAGAGCTGGATAATAGTAGATGTTCCTCATAGTTCAGTATATTAACTTTGCTTTAAAGCAATACATATTTTTTAAATCTTAACCTAGGTAAATTATATTCATCCCAACTATATTGTATGGGATTGGGGAAATGTATACAAATTAAATTCTTAGGGCTTATACTTAGAAACAAATATGAAACTATGGATGTTGCTGAATGGTACCTTATTAATTAGGGTCTATTCATTTTTTTTAGATTTTGAGAGGGGGAAAGTTGGTTAATGAGATTTTGTTCTTATTAATTAAAATATTCATTTCTTTTTCCAGATTTATGTAGGGTTTACAGAAAATTTATTTTTTCGGAGTATCACTTAGTCGGGTAAGTGATGCTCATGTCCTAGTTAGGTGGATAACTTTTCCACATGGAAGGAAAGTTGCCAACACATAGATACAACAAAATTGTCCATTTTGATAATGATTTTTTTTTTATGATTTAAATGGTCATTGTCTTATTTACTTGGGAAATAAAAGAATATGGATAGATGCATTTACCCGAATAAATAACATCCCAAAAAACGAACAGGGCCTTAGAATCTCTAGCATGGAACGAACGGGTAACTTGAAGTTGAAGTGGGGGAAACTAGATGGGTTATTTTCTTTTTTGCTTCAATCCATCGATATTGGGATTAAAAAAAATTTAAATTATTAAAATCTCTGACAGATAAAGAGGTGCAAATGAGCTGAAGGACAATAGTGTTAGAATGGGGGCAATATCTCAGTTTTTGTTATGGGGCTTTCAAGTTGAAATAAAATTTTCTTGTCATAGACTATTTTCACATCAATTTTAGAGATAATTAGTCCCATTTTTTCTTTTTCTATTTTTTATTAAACTTAAAATTTCATGAACTATTAAGATATTCTCAGAGATTTTCCTAACCAATATAAATGCTGATTGATACCTAAAAATCAACTTTGATTCCGTTTAATTAATTTACCAAACCTTCTTACCTAACAAGCTTTGAACAACTTTCATACCAAACAAAAGAAGATACTCATTTCCATTGAAAGTATCAATAGAAGTAGAAGTATTGCAGATTCTCCGGTGTCAAGTAAAAATCTCTTCCACAAGCAAGCTAGGAATGGACAACATACTTGCCTCTTGTTCTGGGAAACAATAATTCACAGAGCCTTAAATGAAGTAGCCATCGAGTTATCGAGTGTTGCATCGGGATGTGACTCTTTTCTGTTAAGTTTTCTTGTCACATTCATGAATCATGATATATGATTGTAGGAGAAATTGCTAGCCTACTACTACGAGCCCACTCAAATAATTGATACAGGCTGGGAGTCAAAGATAAAAGGTTTCAATAAATATATAAGAAACTATATGACTAAGCTTCCTGTGATCTTCCTGCTGTGTTTGGTTTGTTAGAAAATAAGAAACAACAGAAAATTAAGAGAAAATTACTTAAAGTTTCTCTCTTATTTTCTATCATCAAATCAAACACAGCCCAAATGACACAATAATATACATCTCTAAGTAAGTCACATTTATATCCACATGACTTTTGCTGGATATATGTGAGAATGATGATGGCAATGACCTAACTCACCCTCGTGGAGGCTAAGCCAAATGCATGTGGACATGTGACCTTTAATTTCCCTCTCTCTCTCTCTGGTTTGTTTCTTTTATTCTCTTTTAATTATAAAAGAAATTTTGGGTTTGATGGTCAACAGTGAGCTTAGATCATTCCTAATTGGGCTTTCCCTCACTTGGAGTTGGCGAAGAACCCATGGAACAGTCTTTAGTTTTTCTCTTTAATTTCTTACTTTATACTCATTTATTTGGGATTCATGACACCCATGACCTACCCTTCATAATGTTTTTTTTTTTACATTATAAAAATGTATAC